TTGAACACTGCCACATTCCAAAGACAGACCAGATCCCATTGTCCCTCCTCCCCCAGCTCCTCTTGGGGATCCCCAGAGGTGAAGCACGGGTGCAAATAGCTGCTCTATCCTTTGAAAATCACATAAAAAATAGCAGGAAGAGGAAAATTCTTTCTCTTTAGATCAAGCCGGGATGAAACCTTCCTGTTTTCTGTGATTTCTAGGATTCTATTTGCCCCAGTAAAATATTTTTCTTCTTTAAGTGGAGGCAATGAAAACATTTTGTTCTCCCCAAAATAAAACATTGAAGGCACGTGCAGTCCCCAGCCTTTTTAATCAAAGGCAGGCAAATTTCAAATGGAGAATGTCACAGTGTAATAAAAAGTTGAAGCGTTTAATTTCAAGCGTATCTCAAGCAAGGCCTGATGCTTTTCATCCTCAAAATACTCTTGTATTTTTTCCTTCAAACTTCGGTTCAAGTTGTAAATAATTTCAAAGGAACCAAAATAGCTTTTATTTTCCCTACAAACAACTGTTTCCTCTGAATTTCAGCCAGGCTAGCTTAAAGTGATTGGAGCCAGACTCTTCCCACTGGTGCCCAGTGGACAAGAGGCAAGAGCCGTGAGTTGAACTACAGGAAATCCCTTTTCGATGGAAGAGAAGTGTGGATGGTTTTTGACTGGAAGGGTAAAACACATCCCAACACATCCAGCACGCTGGAGCAGGTCGTGCAGAGCTGTTGGGCAGTCTTCATCCTTGGAGGAATGACACAGCCCTGAGCAACCCCCTCTGGCTGCTCCTGTGCTGAGCAGGGGGTTGGACTGCACAATCCCTAGAGGTGCTTTCCAGTCTCAACCAGCCTCATTATGTGGGATTTTATCACCCAGGCGCTGCAGTCGCCTCCATAGGGATACACCAGCCCCAGCAAACCACCACGAGCTGCAGCATCACCAGCCCTGGGGAGTCTGAGGGTCTCGGCGAGCTTCGTGCTGCTTTCGAGCTCCAGTTTGTGGGGTTTTTGCAGTGGAGTGTTTCAAAGAAAACGTACACTTCTTACCCTCAGAAACGAAGAGGAAACCTTAACCTCGGCCTGACCTGCAAGGGGAGAGAACCAGGAGGCAGCTCAGTAGCAGAGGAAACCACAGGCATTTCAAAGAGCAGCTTGTCTGAACAAGCTGCGTCTGTGCAGACCTTACACCTCCTGCTTGGCTCCTCCAGTAAGGTGTCAACTCTGAAAACCCTTCCCAGAGCTTTGGTTTCGCAATGTCCCGTGCCTGTGTGGATTCTCTGCAGTTCAGTACGAGGTTCAGCTCCTGCTGATGCAGTGCACTTATTAAGGCAGCCGTTTCTTCCCTTCCTCATTAGACTCACAAGCTTGGGCCCACTCGGCAGAGCGTGTTGGAACCAGCCACCATCAGCCCTCGGCATTTGATGGGCACATCAGCTGGGCTGATGGGTTCGTGGGAATGCCAGTGACTTGGGGAAAGATTGGGAAATGCCCAGTTTCCACCTCAAAAATGGGTGGAAAGTAAAGGAAACAGTCTATGGATATCCCTCATTTGGGTTTTTGGAGTGTCGGGATCTGTCATCATCTCCACCTAAAGATGGGTTCAGGAAACCAGAGTATGAATAGAGAAAGAGGAGAGTGTGGAGATCTCGGACCCCATTCATGCCCAGACCTCCCTCTCTGGGATGCTCTCCAGATGCAAACGTTTTAATGTCCTGGTCACGAAGACAGACATTTAAAATGCCCTAAACCTTCAACCAGGCTCCTTGAAACCAGACACGCATGCAAACCTTGCAGCTGTGCATGCACAGGAACAAGCCATAGCCCTGCAGTGTGCAGAGCACGGCGAGCTCTCGGCACCTGTGCACAGTCTGGAGAGGGTCAGAGTTTGGCTGCCAGCAAAGTCCCACTCTGCCCAGTGAGCGTCTCTTACCCTTTCCTTTGCAAAGAGCCTTGGTTCAGCAGCGGGACCTTTTCAAACCTGGCTTTTGGAGAAAGCATCTCAGCCCATCTTCAAGGAGGCACCGCGCTGGGGTCAAACTTCACCGCTTCTGCTTTCCCCTTGGAGAAAGGAGCCTTTCCCGTCCCGAGTCCCGTTCATCTCCTGGTGCGAGGGGACCTCTACAGCCCGCTCCGAGCATCTCCCGCTGCAGGCACAAGCGGTCGGGGGGGATTCACTGCCCTCCCATGGCAAGCCTCGGAAACAGGTTCGGCGGCGGCTGCCGCCCGCGTCCAAGCAGCAGCTGGGTTCGCTGTAATAAAGGATAACACCAGAAGGGATAAAGGATAACACCAGCGCTGCTGAACAAGCCAGTAAGTTCTATCGCAGGTTCCTACAGGTGGGAAAGGAACCGAGAGCCTCGGGGCTGCTGGCGACCTGCAGGGCTGCAGAAGGTTCCCATTAGCACAAGCTCTCACTGCTTAAAAATGGGCATCAAAATCAAGGGAAATAAAAGAAGGATGCTCGCATGGAAATCACTGTCTTTCCACATCCCCTCCTTTTCTCCCCATCATGTGAGTACTCGGCTCACAGGTCGGAAAACCAAGCTATTGGGTGACACTAAACCCCACTGTTCCAAGTGAGAGGAGCCTGGAGAGAGGCTGGAGCAGGGCAGAAGCAGCTGCTTGGGGAAACACCCAGTGCCAGCAAGGACCTGATCCTGCACTGCGCTCTCCCTTGCCTTGCTGTCAGCTCCTCCGAACCGGCAGGATTCCACAGGAGTTGGGCTCAGCACAGAATTCCTGGAGGAATTGCAGCGCTGGGGAAGCAGCTTGGTGCAGTGTTCGCTTTATACATCCCAGAGCACCCAGAGAAAATGGGGTCCCAGCAAAGCCATTAGGCCTGGCAGGCAGCGCTGGGCTGCCTCAGCCCATCAGAATGCGCTCAATGGAATACCTCGGTGAGCAGGGGATGGCTTTGGAAGGAGGACACTTGCTCCAGAGCCCTGGAATGCAGCCAGTAGATGGCATTCATACGCTGCCCTATGCCATGTGCCCCCCGGCAGAGCACCCTGTGCCTCTCAGCTTTAACCGCCTTGGGAAACATGAGGGAAAAAGGGGTTTATATGAAATGAAGGTAAAAGGCAAATATTCACCTTTACCAGAGGTGACCCTGCAGCATCTGACAATTGACTTTGGAGCCGACAAGTGTGACAGAATTCCTGGCGTCTCTTTCTGTCCTCATGGATCTCCTGACTGCTTCTACTATAGAAATATGTAATACCTATATAAAGAAATATAATACAGCCCTAAAGCATCCATAGGAATCCTGTGTATCCTGCACCACAGGGATGCCCAAAACCATAGAATCATAAAATCAACCAGGTTGGAAAAGCCCTTTAAGCCCATCCAGTCCAACCATTGCCCAGCACTAAGGCCACCCCCAACCCATGGCACTGAGGTCTCATCTCCACGGCGTGTGAACACTTGCAGGGACGGTGACTGCAGCCCTGCCCTGGGCAGCCTGTTCCAGTGCCTGAGCACCCTGTGGGGAAGGATGATCAGGTATTGAAGGGTAATACCTCACCAACCCTCTGACCCAGGGTCTCCCAGGCTGACCACGCATGTGGCTAGGAGCTGGCAGCATTTGGCTACCACTGATGTGTGTTACTTTCCTTACAGTGACATCCGTTAGGTTGAGGAAATACTGTTCTTAGCACCCCATCCCGCAGGAGGCACTCACGGAATTTATCATCAAATCCCAGCCTGGTTTGTGTTGGAGGGAGCCTTAAAGCTCCTCCAGCTCCAACCCCTGCCACAGCAGGGACCCCTTCCACTGCAGCAGCTTGCTCCAAGCCCCTGTGTCCAACCTGGCCTTGAACACTGCCAGGGATGGGGCAGCCACAGCTTCTCTGGGCACCCTGTGCCAGCGCCTCAGCACCCTCACAGGGAAGAGCTTCTGCCTCAGAGCTCAGCTCAGTCTCCCCTCTGGCAGGTTCAAGCCATTCCAAAGCAGGAGTTACCTTCATCTCTGTACAGCACGAAGCCCAGCGCCTGCACGATGCAAATGCGGGAGGGAATTTGACAGCAGACATCAAACTAACATGCATCTGCCTGGGGCTGGGTTGAGGCTTTGGTCCAAGGCTGTTGAATGGAGCCCAGGAACCAGCAGGCAGGTGAAAATCACTGCTGCTTCGTTCACTTTTAGATTTGCAAAGGAACCAGCAAAGGTCTCGGGCTCTGAAGCAGTTACAGACTCTCTGGAAGAGAAGCTGACACCCCAGCACAAGGAGGACCCTCTGTCGGGTCTGGCTGCGCAGCCAGAAGTGAGACCAGTGCCTGAGGTTCAGGTACAAATGAGCTTTGCCTGCGCAAGGCAAGATGGACCATTAAATCCTGCAGCCTACCGAGGCTGAGGCCACCTTTGACTTTCTAAGGGAATGATGCCTGTATTAAAAAGCCCTTCCCTTCCCAGCCACCCCTCTCCAGTTCCCACCTCTCCTCCAGGGCTAGATCCTGCTGGGTGATGGGCATCCCTCTCTCCCACTGAAAGCAGCAAGGAGACTGCTCAGCCCCGGCAGCATCATTCATCCGGAGGAAGAGTGTAGGGAGATATTTGGTACCTTGCAGCCAATTGGCGGAGCGGTGACACTGGAAGGGGGGTGCTTTCAGCTCCTCTCTCCTCCCATCCTCCATAGCACCCCCCTCCCTGCCAGCACCCCCACCGCCATCCTCCTCACACACAAAAGCAATTGGCTGCTTTGGAGCTGAGGCTTAGCCAGCTGCAAGCAGAACGTAATAACCAGCTACCTTGGAAGGGAGGGAGGCAGCAGAGGAAGCAGCAGCCATGGAAGAATACAAATAACTGCCCTCAATTCACAGCGAAATCCAAATCAGCAAGCAAGGAGTGCTGTGAGAAAGGCCGACCTAGATGCATCCCCACAGCGCTCCGCTGGGAAAGCCGCACACGTCTGCGCCCGGATCCAGGCGCTGGACCTCCTGAGCAGCCCATCTCCATCGGGGGAATGCCTGCCCGGGATACAGGCAGGATCTCCTTTGTTCCTCACTAGCCACAGGCACTGGTGAGTACAGCATCATCTGGGCTTCCATACTGCTGGGTGATGTCTGATACTGAGGAACATCCCACTCCAGCCTGAGATTTGCTTCATACCTTTCCTTTCTCTTCCTCCCTCCATGATGCGTTCAGGGTTAGCAGAAAGCAGATGACAGCGGTGGGGAGGAGGGAGGGAAGGTGGGGTCTCTCTCAGCCCCAAGGTATCTCCTTTGACTGCATGTAGAGGAAGTAAAAATGGAGACATGTGTGACAGTGGCATGGGCATCGCATGCAGCCCAGCGTAAGGACAGGATGCAGAACGTGTGTGCTGGGATGGGTGGAGAGCTGCCACGCTCCCAGCAGCTCTCCGCGCTGATCCCAGTCTCTGCCCGTGCCTGTCATAAAGGCGGATGCTGGATTTACTCAGGCCTCTACATTCCTTTAAAGCAGATACACACAGATTTGTCTCTCTTCAGATCATCACCAGCAACATCCCCTGTAAAGACAAGCCTCCAAAGCAAGCAGAAAAGGCACTGGCTCTCTAGAAAAGCCTTACAGCAATGGGTCAGGCTCTGCTAGGGGCTGATTTCCCTGCCACTGGGGGACAGACAGAGCAGCCCCATCCGCTTGGGAAATCACCCTGGGTCCCTTATCCTAAAAAGAACACATCATGATCCAGCCAGAACCTGGATACATTTTCAGTGTAAAAGCTGATTGCAGGAAGAACGTTTCAGAGCTGACCTGCAGTGGGTTAATGCACGTGCTGGTTTCACATCAGCGAGTTCTGTACAGGATAAGGCCTGACCTTGTCCCCTCCAGACTCAGGTGCAGCTAAGCTCAGCCACAGCAGCATCCAGCCTACCTGCTCCCTCTGACCAGAGCTGGTCCTGAGCCCTCAGCCCCGTTTCTCTCAGGGTGCAGGGACAAGTGTGGGGATGGAGAACAAACCAGGAGCAGCAGTCGGGAATTGCTCTGCAAAACCCAAACCCAAAGCCATTAACTTCTACCCAGGCCAGCAAAATGGTGCTTCTGCCAACCCAACCTAAAAGCAGCCTGGGAGGGGCAATTTCCTCTCTTCCCTTTCTGCCACACTTCAGAGGTACCTGTTTATGGTCAGCTTAGTACTGGAAGAGAAGCAGCAAGGGGGAAATGGGTGGACATTGGCCCAGAGAGTGTTGATTCTCAGGGAGATGAGCTAAGGCCACAACAGCACAGAGATGCACCTACTGCCTCAGCCCAGGGCCAGCCTCACCCTCTTGTCCAAAGCATGACAAGTACCCACAAGTCCCCCTACCCTTCCTTCTCTGTGGGGCAGGTTGTCAGCATACCTGCTCTGAATGGTTTGGTGCCAACCTCTGCCTTCCACCTTCCAGCCCAAGCCCTTCCCCAAGGGACCTGCTGTGCAGCCGGCCCCTCTCTGAGCACCATGGGGACCACAGAGGCCACTTTGCGGATGGAAAACGTGGATGTGAAGGAGGAGTGGCAAGACGAGGACTTCCCAAGGTTTGTTCCCTGCCAAAAAAAGTCAAGGAGAATTTGATTTCTTCCTGTAAGAAACCTGCAGGGCATGGAGCATGCAGGGCCCTCCCACCTGAGGCAACAGGAGTCTGAACTCCACCAGGGCAGTTCTGGCCAGAGAACAGAGCTTTCATAGCCAGGCTGCTCTGAATGCTTAGGAGTTCTGGGAGGCTTCTGGCAACCCCCTGTGAGCACAGCAAGGAGAGGGTAAGGAGCTGGTATGGAGCACAGGGAGATTAGTAAGGATGTATATAGGGATGGATGGATGGATGGATGGAGGCACATGGGGGTGGATGGACTCCTTCCCAGTCTCTGAATCAAGCAGCATCTCCCCAGACAGAGCAGTGGCTGCTTCGCCAGGAATTCGCCACAGGAAGCAGTCACTGGGATGCAATGACCACGGGCACTGACAGGCAGAACCTGAATGGTCGCAAACCTTGTAAGAGATGATGTGTGGGTGACAGAAGGTGCCAAAGTGACATCTTTCACCTTCACAGGTGCTTTATTAATAGTATGGAATATCAAAGAGAGCATCCCTGTATGCTCAGTGCGCCCTGAACTCCCCACAGCCACCCAAAGGGTGCATCTACCCGGTGCTGCCCCACACATCCATCACTGCAGCTGGGGTCTGTGTAGCTGAGGGGCTTTTCAGGGCTGTCTCTCCCTGTCCCAGCTGCAGCTGAGCTCCGTGAGCAGCCCACAGAGCCGCTGTATGCACAGACAGAGGCACAGTGTGCTCTGCGGGGGGGGCACGCACAGCCCCTGCCCTGTGAGAAAGGGTCTCCTGTTCCCCTTGGCACCATGGATGAGCCTGGCTCTGTTCACCCTGGCTCCAGCTGCAGCACTGATCTGAGCACCTCTGTGTGCCAGCACAGCACCCGGCTCGTGGGACACGGCTCGTCCTTCCGCTGGCCAGAGATGGGCTCAGCCAAGGCCTTGGGTTCCTCGGATGGGTTCCTGGGTTTTCTTTCCTCTGAGAGCTGAGCTTCGGGCTGATGGAGCTCTGCCAACCTAAGGCTCCCCCCGAGCACTGTGCTGAAAAGCTTTTAATTGAGTAGAAGGGAAAGTGAGGTACAGAAGGGAAAGCATTGACTCAAAGCTCCCCAAAGGTCTATGGAAGCGTTTAAGTCCAGGTTGGACACAGGGGCTTGGAGCAACCTGCTCTAATGGAAGGTATCCCTGCCCATGGCAGGGGGTTGGAGCTGGAGGAGCTTTAAGGTCCTTTCAACCCAAACCAATCTGGGATTAAATGATAAAATCTAGGACCGAGCTAGTCTAGCACCAGGATACCCAGGCACTAACCCCCACCACCACCTTGGAGCAGGAGCTGCCAGGCTGTTTCACACTTGCCTTGCACGCAGCAAACTGACCCCAGCCACAGTCAAGCCTTCAGGGGGCATCTCTTCTGCAGAGCCCTCAACACCATCTAATACAGGCAGCATCACTCCCACCCAGCAAACAGAGCACAGGGGGAGGCAAAAGGATGCCACCATGGCTGCTGCAGGTCCCCAGCCTGCTGATGGGCTGCTGCAGAGGGATTAAATCAGGAATGATGCAAGTGCAATAGGGCCCAACCAGGCAGGAGGCAAATGAGTGGCTGCAGCTGTGTTTAACTAGCACTGGAAATAAAGAAATGATCATTTTCAAGGCACTTCCCCCCCCTGAAAGTATTAAAATAATAGGGCAGAAGCTGCTGCATGTGGGACAGCAGCTCTCCAGCAGATGATTTGCTGCATAGCTATTTTTGCTTAGCTGTGATTAACCAATCTTGCCACAGAAAAAAGACTCCGCCGTATCCTAGTCAAAGCTCAGGGCCGGGGAAACCGAAGTGAGCCGCTCACTAAGGACAGCCGGTGACATCCCCGTCCCTCCGGGAGAAGCCGATGGGCTGCACAAGCTCCGAGGTGCAGCGCCAGGGCACTGAGGGAGCGGGGAGGAAAGGGTCCCCCCTGCTGCCGCTCCCGGAAGGTTTCTGTGTCTCAGCTGGCTTGTGCAGCGCGGTCCTGCGCTGATGCTGGAGCTGCCGCGGGGCGGATGCAGGAGCATGCTCACTCCATCAGCATCCCGCGGCTCACGGGCACTGACGGCTCAGGCTGCTTGGGGCCCGAGAGAAGGTGCTTAGAGAAGGAAAGTGAGCAGCAGGAAGGAAAATGGTGGCACCCGGCGCTTAGGGAACCTGCTTCCTTCAGAGCATCTGGGGCTGGCTGCGTTTGGGAAGGAGGATTTACCCGGGAGACTGGGAGGCGGTGAGCTGAGCCCCCCCCTGGGGAAGGTAAGAAAGGCCTTTTCTTCCCCCCCCTGCTTTTGGAATTGCTTTCCTTAAATGAATCCTAGCACTGGAGCACAGAGTGCCCGGCTGCAGCACGTACTCAGCTACGGCTGGGCCTGGTCCCCTTGTGATGCTCTATCCTCAAGTTGTGCCAGGCGCAGCTCACAGACAAACAAGGAGCCAGGCCCCCTGCAGACAAAAGCAAAAGGGAGGAGGAGGAGCTGGAGGGGGGCAGAGGGACCTTTCTGGGTGTTCAGGACTATTGTGGCAGCCCATGGGGTCTGGGTGCTGCACTAGCAAGGAGCAAGCGCCTTTGATCAGGCCTTCAACTCTCATAAATATACAATAACCAGCTAGGAGAGGATTATCCCTTAATCAAAATATTTATAGGGTTTAATTTGGCTGGTGGCTCTGGTGTGATGCCAGCACAAAAAAGAGCCTTTGTAGGGCAGAGCCTGTGGATGCAGAGGTACGGGGCTCCATCACCCCTGGACCCCAGCCCTGTGCACAGCCCTATCCCTTTGTTGCTGCCCTCAGACTGGTGGGTACCCCCTGTCCCAGCACCCAGGATTTCATGCCTGGGGGCATGAGCTCTTTCCCCCTTGAGGGGGAGCTTCCAGCAAGGGGCAGGTGAAACGAGGACAGCTCAGAAGGTCCCCTTTAAACAGACCTTTGACAACGTGAACTTGCTGGGGGGTTGGTGGGGTTTGGTCACCAGGGGACAGGCACAAGGCCCAGCTCAAATGAAGGGGAAAAGCATGCAGGAGGTGTCCAGCTCAGGGTGGCAGTGCTGCTCAGCCACCAGCCAGGGTTCCTGGCTGCAGTACTGGAGGCCATATCCTGACTTCACTTGCTCCTGACCACTATCGGGGTAACTTCATCGGCTTCCAAAGGGTGACAGCCACATCATAAGATTGGACATTAGCATCTGTACAGGAAAGTCAGCTTTGAATGAATCAGTGCTTCCAGCCTCTGGCTGGAGACATGGGGATTGATACCCTCCTTCCCAGGAGCCAGGCACAAGCTGCAGATCCTGACCTCTGCCATGGAACCCAGGAAGGGAGCAGTGGGTCAGCCTTTGGAACCGAAATATGGGTTTGGGTGCTGGTGCCTGCATCTTAGATCAGGATGAACCTGCTTCCAACCCTTGGCAGGGTTTGGGTGTCACTGTCAGCTCTTGTCAGATGAGGCTGAGGTGACAATTCTGGGATCACAGCTGAGATTTGATCCTTGTGTTGAACAGACTGCCTTAGAGCAAAGGTGCTCTCTCTTGACCTGCCTCCTGGGAGACGTGGTTGTGTTTGGATGAAGTTCTCTGCTGCAGCCAGGGCCTGTGACAGAAAGCAGGATGCACTTTACAGAGCCATTAGCAGAGAGCACAAAGTGCTCTTTTGCTCAGCATCCAGCACTAGTTCAGCTGCTGCTGGGATCAAAGCATCCCTCCCTGGGCTTAGGAACAGCTGCATTCAGGCTGTCTGGACACTGTGCTGGGAACAGGAGCACAGACAACTGCTGAAGATGCTCCCTGGTTCCTTTGATGAGGTGCCCTAGAGCTTGGCACTGCCTCTCGGACTTCTGATGGAGATAAAAATGGGGATGATATGGAGAAAGTGAGGATGTTACTAGGCTCATCGGGGGACAGGATTTGTCCCTTTGTCCCTGGCTGGGTTTTGAAGCCTCTTGGCTGAATGGCAGCAGGAGGGATGCGTCGGTGGGATGGCTTGGAGGTTACCAGGGATCACACAGGACCCCAGGCAGAGAGCACAGGTGCTGGGCTGCTCTTGGGCAGTGTCCCCCAGGCTGAGCTCTCAGGCAGAAGGGAAGGGGCAGAGCACACAGGGAGCTGCATGGTTTTCCCACTTCTCTGCACTGCCTGCCATGGAGGGCCTTTCTCCTTAACATTACCTGTTCCCTCCTGTCTTTTGACCTCCACATCTCGGCTTGCCTGCAGACCTCTCCCGGAGGAGACGGGGATGGAGTCACTGGGCAGCCCTACGGAAGATGAGAACACATCCTGTAAGTACCAGCTTGCAGTTAGGGCGGGAGCCAGCTCCCTTGGAGCCTCCATCAAAATCCCCATGTGGGAGACGAAACCAGCAGAGATTTGAATTTGCTAATCTTTCACAAGGAGCTGGGGGAGGAGAAAGGCAGCTTGGAAGCGTGGGCACTTTTACCCACCCATACCTGTAGGTCTCCAGTACTGCCCAGCTCTGATCCACCACCCTTAGCTTCCAAGGCCCTAGCTTGCAATGTGATCATGACAGCACCATGTCTTGCACTCAGGATACAGCAGGAGGACAACCTGTCAGTTATTTTCCTTTTAACTCCAGCTCCCCCCAATACTTTAAACTTTAACGGGGCGCATCGTAAGCGGAAGACGCTTGTTGCACCTGAAATCAACATTTCCCTGGACCAGAGTGAAGGCTCCATTCTCTCCGATGACTTCCTGGACACACCAGACGACCTGGACATTAATGTGGATGACATCGAAACTCCTGACGAGACAGATTCCCTCGAATTCCTGGGGAATGGGAACGAGCTGGAATGGGAAGGTAAAAAGCTGGGTCTGGGTGAACGGCTGCAGGGGCTGGGGCTTTTCTTAACCTCATTTTAAGCACTTTTGACACCACTCAGCATCAGCAGCTGAGGACCAACTTCCACAGCAGCCAAGCACAGCACACACAACCAAGCCCTATCTTCCACACAGCATCTGCCCCACCAGGACCCCAGCTGCTGCTATCTCAGCACTCCCATCTGGGGCTGGGGCAGGCAGAAGTAGTTCAGGGACTTGAAAACACCGGTTTAGCCATAACTCAGGGTATGGCATGGGCTGTGGACACACATCCCCTTCCTGCTGCAGCTGGGCCACCACCCCAGGCTGGAAGGTACCAGTGACCATTCAGACATCTTCACTAACATGGTCTTTGTTAACCTGCCTGGCTTTGGCTGAATGGGGCTCAGGAGGGCTCCTGCAGGCAGGTCGGCTGGTAGATCACAAGACTGATGGCACAGGCAGTGCCCTCTTCAGTCAGTATAGAGGGAGCTGAAGGAAGATCTAACAAAGAGCCTGGTGTTCAACCTGTGACTGCAGGTACTATAAGCAGCAGCATGAGGTGTTAAGCTTATTTCTATTACAATTTGGCAAATGGAACAAAGAAACAAGAGGGGCTTTAGACAAAGGCCGATAGGGACAGGCCAAGGGGATTGGCTTGAACCTGCCAGAGGGGAGACTGAGCTGAGCTCTGAGGCAGAAGCTCTTCCCTGTGAGGGTGCTGAGGCACTGGCACAGGGTGCCCAGAGAAGCTGTGGCTGCCCCATCCCTGGCAGTGTTCAAGGCCAGGTTGAACACAGGGGCTTGGAGCAAGCTGCTCCAGTGGAAGGGGTCCCTGCCCATGGCAGGGGCTTGGGACTGGATGAGCTTTAAGGTCCCTTTCAACCGAGCCCATTCTAGGTTATTAAGATCCACAGCCTTACTCAGACCAAAGCTACAGATGAAACAGATGATCCTGTGGTTGTTACCGTCAGTAAGTGCCCACCGAAGCTCTCGCAGAGCCTCTCCATCCGTTCTATGAAAGGCAGAAATGTTTGTCCCTCTCCCAGACGACACTCCTGTGGCCACAGCGAAGAACATGCCAGGGGACAGCGCAGACCTCTTTGGGGATGGTGGCCCGGAGGATGGGAGTGCTACCAACGGGCGGCTCTGGAGGACTGTGATCATTGGGGAGCAGGAGCACCGCATCGACCTCCAGATGATCAAACCCTACATGCGGGTGGTGACACACGGAGGTGAGGAGGAGGACAGCCTGGTCCTGCCTTGGTGGCTTTGTCGAGCTGGAGGGGATGCTGGCGCTGGTTGTTTTGCCTGTCCTTAGGGGGAGATTGCTATTTGGTTTGTACTGCTGTGTGGCGGAGAAGCACAAAGCACCCAGCTCGTGCTGAGGAACACACAGCTGCTGGAGCAACGCTTCAATAAGCAAAAGTAGGGATAATGCTGGCTCTGACCAAGAGTGACTATACCCTGACCTTCAGCCCGGGTTAAGTACCTGCATCCCCAGTGATGAAGGGCCGGCAGGTACCTGAACCCTCTGTAGCTCAGCACTTGAGCTGTCTCCAGTGGCACAGCTAAAGGCCAGCACCTCCAGAGAGTGACCATCCCTGAAATCCAAGCAAATCCCAGCCACAAAGCAGGGCAAAGCTCCCAGCAACGTGCTGTGACATACACAAATTCCTTCCCCAAATCCTATGTGCATGGTATAACCAAAACCAGGAGCAGGGCAATTCTGTGTGAGAGGCCTGTAAGAGATACAAACACTTCCCTGGAGCTCAACAGAGGCACAAAAACCAGCCCAGGCCCAAATTTAGCCATGCATCTTCCCTTCAGCTCTCACATCTTCCCCTGGAAAATGTCACTGATGCTGCCTGTGTCTTTCTTTCCCAGGATACTATGGAGAAGGTCTCAATGCCATCATTGTCTTTGCTGCCTGCTATCTCCCAGACAGTAACCTGGCTGATTACCACTACATCATGGAGAATCTCTTCCTGTAAGTGGTGGGCAAGGTCTGCGAGGGAAGAGGAGGGCAGGGAAGGTAACTGGGGCTCCAATGAAGCAGTTTCCATGTATTCAGTGCATCCCAAACCTCAGCTGGAAATAGTCTGAACCCAGGCCAAAGGTACCCAGGGTGCAGCTGCAGACTGGGGCGAGCATCACTGGGTGAGACACTGTCCACAGAGTTCACATCCAAGTCCAATGAGTCAAAGCATTCAACTATTCAGTGTTAATTATGCCAGTGATGGACTCACAGCCAGGGCAGAGCATATGTACACAGTGCTGAAGAGCTGGTAGATGCTCTTGCTAGGCAGAAGAACAGTGCAGGATGTCCATCAGTTCATGCACTATGAGAACAGTGATCCCAGAGAAATACCCCTGCAGGGCATAATGAAATAATAATCCTACAGTGGTGCCAGATTCCTGCTCTATTCCAAGACCTACAAAGAAAGGGTCTGGAGGGCTTTTGAGGTAGCACACGGGCACTAAAGGAAGCTTCAGGGACCTTTTCTGAGTCTCATATTCCTGTTCCTTTTGATCACCACCCAACAGATACGTGATCAGTAGCCTGGAGCTGCTGGTAGCTGAGGACTATATGATCGTGTACCTGAATGGAGCAACACCCCGCAGGAGGATGCCAGGCCTGGGCTGGCTGAAGAAATGCTACCAGATGATAGACAGAAGGTGAGGATCCCATTGGTGTTGCCTCTTCATTCTTCCCAGTCTTCTTCCCACATCTCTTCCACTGCTTCCTCACAGCCTTCCCAGCCACTCTGCCTTCCTCCCTCTGCAGATGCTGCGATTCCATCCTGTTAGAGCTTTCTGACTTACTCCAGGCTCCCTGCATCACCCTCTTGCCCTCACAAGCACCTTCACAGAGATCAGCCTAATACAGCACCCAAAAGCAAGGCAGTGCTCCTGCAGCCTGCCAGCTCAGAGCTGAAAGAGGGTTCCTAAGGCCAAGGGCAGGGCTTTTGTCTGGAGACACCCACCTGAGGCTGGTCAGCATCATGACACTTGCTAGTGCCCTGACACAGTTTAAGGAAAGGTACTTTGAATCTGAGTTCTGTCCCATGGCTCTTCCACAGGCTGCGTAAAAACCTCAAAGCATTGATAATCGTGCATCCCTCGTGGTTCATCCGGACAGTGCTGGCCATATCCAGACCCTTCATCAGGTAACTGTGATGTGTTCCCAAACTTGGCTGGGTTTGGAGTGAAAGTTTAACCTCACAAACCAGATCTTAAGCTCACCTTTAATTCGTAGCAACCAAGGTGGCTCTGTTTGTCTCTTGTCCTACATCTCCCTGACGCTTCCAAGGCCAACTCTAGAGGTGGTTTTAGGAGATACTGTGGTGGTCTGGATCCGGATCAAAGTTTGTCCCAGTGGGTAGCACATAAAGATTTCCTGGGAAGAGCAGGAATGGTCGTCCTTCTTTCCTCCTATGGATATTGAGGAGCAAGGGTCAAAGAAACGTGAGGTACAGTAATGTGGCACCTCACCACAACTTGTAGTCATTGGCAGATCAGCACTGGCAGGAGCTGAGAACATTCAGACCAAAGAGGATACAGAGATGCAGAGCTCCCCGTTTCCATTGGGAAACTTGTGACTTGCTATGGAGAGAACATCAAAACAGGAGCTCAGGCACACTCTTTCTTTCTCTGCCAGTGTGAAGTTTATCAATAAGATCCAGTATGTCCACAGCCTGGAGGAACTGGAGCAACTCATCCCAATGGAGCACGTGCAGATCCCAGACTGCGTCTTACAGTGAGTGGCAGAGGGACCCTGGGGCACACGTGGCTCTGAGGAGGAGCAGGACAAAAGTGCTGTGTACCAGTTGGGTCAGACCCCATGTACTGGAGCCCTATGCTGCTGCTATCCTGGTGCCAAGCAAGAGCCTGCACAATGTGCTGGGTTGCAGTTTCTGTCACCTTCAGAGCAAACATTGCATTTTACTAAAGGTAACACTTACAGACTGTTTTCCTGTTTGTTGCAGATATGAAGAAGAGAGGATCAAGGCCAGAAAAGAAAGGTAAAATTAATGCTGTGGGAAGGGGGAAGAGGTGGGGATTCATTTTGTAGGATGTTGTTGCATTCCTTCATCACTATTTGTGCTATAACCAGTCAATTCTGTGCTCCTCCTCCCTGATACCCCACACAGCCTACACTTCCTTCCTGCTGATTTTCCCAAGGTAAGCAAAAGCTGCAGGAGGGAGAAGCACCTTGATTTGAAGGTTATTTATCCACAGATCTGTTCCTCTTAACCCCAGCAGTGCACTCGCGCTGCGCACGCACTGCAGGTGCTAGCAAAGGTCAGCAGAAATCACCCTGTATGAAACAGCACATTTTCCCCCTACAACCCTGCAAACTGACCTGAAAGTGAGAGCCAGTGCTTAGTTCCAAAGCCGCTTCATTCTGCTGAAGTGGCTTCAGGAGGGACATCAGTTGACAGTTCTGTTTCATTTTCTAGGCCTGTTCTGTTGCCAGTGATTTCGGTTAGAAACAGTGGTAGCAGTTGGCTCTGCTCAAAGCAAAAGGCAGTCATGGGCAGAGGCAAGACCAGCTGGGTCAGCATGAGAGTGACCACAGTCACAGACTGCTTTGGGTTAAAAAGACTTGAAAGCTCACCCGGTTCCAGCTAGTGCCCTAGAAATGCCCTGGAGAACTGTATCACACTGCTTGCTTCTAGATGATAGGTTTCAAAAGTGATTTGTGTTTACAGGGCAGAAGAGAAACAAGACATGGCTGAGAGGGAAAGGTAACTACTCTGGTTTCTTTATCCTTTACTTACAAAACCAGTCTTTAGTGACACAAGTGGCCCCACTGCTTGGTGCCCCCCCTGGGGAAGCAGGTCTGACCTCTCAGGAGATGTCTGGAGCTGACAGGACATTACTGAAGTGTCTGGGACCTCTCCTTTCCCTCACAGCTCCCTTTGCCATCACTTTCGTGGTGTTACTGACCTTCACCTATGCCAACAGATTCCTGACACTGCCTTTTACCTCTGCCAGTGAACCCATTTGGTCATGGAGCAGAGCCAGAGGCGCCGGGGACGTTCTCCTGACATTCAGTCGTAGCATTTGTGGGATGGTGCAATGCAGAGGGGCAAAAACTGCTGTCAAGCACATCTTGGCTGTCTGTAAAGGCAAGATATGAGGCTGTAACATTAGATGGGAAGGAAAATCATAGGGAGGCTTGGGAGACAGTGTCAAAATCCTAGGCCAGGATAATTTGGCCTGGTTTTGGCTCTGCTTCAGAGTGATATAGTGTCTCTTTTTTTATTCTAACTAGCTCCTGAGGGGGAGCAGTGCATGTTTCTGCTGTTCTTTTCCCAGAGAAAAAAAAAGAGCTTTGCTAAAAATTGCCAAGGTCTGTTGGCTGAGTCTGAATTGTTCTGAGAAACAAATGGGACCTTGGGGCGAAAAGAGAGGGTGGTTATTCTGTGGTGGAGGTTCACGTCTTGTCTTGCTGGTTCTCTTCCAAGCAGGCCTGTGCCCCCAGCAGAAGATCAGGAAACCAGGTTCGATTTGTACCTTTCTCTTTGTTTGGCTCCACGCGACAGATACCATTGCATTTGTAACCCACTGACAAATGGGAAAGCCAGGACTGGGTTAAGCCCAGGGCCTCTTCACCCTGGTGCTGCTCACTCAGCACAGAAGAGGCATGGGGGCACTTTGTGCATGGGGGATGTAAAACCCAGAAGCTGTTGCTGCCTTCATCCTGCTGTGGCTGCAGCCACAACCACTGTGGCTCATTCCCAAGCATGGGCTGGTCCCTGCTGCAGGAGAAACACTGCCCCTCAATAGATTACCTGGGGTAGGGTGTGCACGTGGGTATTTATTGCAGAGCTGCCTTCCTCTACCTGGCAGGAACGTTTCCATGGTCCTATGCACTCAGGAAACATCCTTAGAGAAGAAGAAAGCCCATTAAAGCTATGAATAACATTCTCTTTTCCCCTGACATGCTTTAGTAGAGGATTACACCCAAACATACTCGTAGTTTTGGTTTTTACATAGTGGGAATACCAACATTTTTACTACAATTCGCTTCCTAAAAATAACTCTGTCTTTCTGTTCCTTCCCAGTATGTCGTGAATCAAAGCAGAGTGGAATGAATGGAGCAGAAGAATGACGCAGCCTGGCAGCCACCCACGAAAATGACCTTTTGGTGTAAGACCTTGTCACCATCTCGTTCCCAGTTCTGTAGCTCATGGAGCCTGCCTCCCCCGCCTCCGAGATGCAAAGTCCATTCAACTTGTTGGAAACATATTCCTTTGAAAAAAAAGACAAGAAAAAAAAAAAAGAAACAAAGCCACAAAACCAAGCAAGCCAAGAAGAGCACTTTTCAGGACAGGTTCCAGTATGGTTCAGTAATGGTCTGTGGAGAGCTATTAATAGTGCAAATAGATACCGTGTTTTCTCTTAGTCAATTAAGAGCATCCTGTAGTCCAGTAGTTGCGAGCCCCGAAAGAGATATATTTTTTGTTTAAATTATAAACCCTTCCTCTAACTTGCTGCTGGCCAGCACTGAGACATTCTGCTTTGAACCCCCGTTCCCTCCACAGAGACGTGGCAACCAGGGACTGGTGGACATGGAATGAGAAGAGTGCATTTCCCTCCTTGCTACAGCCAGTGCGTGTTTCTTTCTGAAGATACCAAGTGCCCACCAGTCGAGGAAGCTCTTCCAGCCTTGACCAGTTAATCCATTGCCAGTTCCTCTTAACTCACACCGAATCATTGCTAGCAGTAAATGCCATGGTTTGCTCCTGGTTTGCTCTGTCTCGGTTTGTAAGGCACTCTGGTAACTCTGAGAGTTCCCTATGGTATGGCAGCCTCCACAGAGCTTCTCATGATCATCTTCTCCTATCAGCGCACATACACCAAACAAGGTCTGGTTTTAAGAAGGAGCCTTATGGACAGGGAAGTTTTTCACCCCTTGTCCTTGTATTGATTGATCTCACGACACTGGACAATCATTCACTATTAATACCTCCTATTGCGGAGACAAGCTGCTAAATGTTTGACATTCCCTACTTGCCATCCCTGGGTAACGAGGGGCCTCATCTACACACATACCCACCCAAGGGGAGAATGCTGCAGGTGTGAGGCAGGACACTGCCTCTGGGTTCAGCTCCTCAGCAGCCAGGAGATGCAGATGTGCCACCGAGAGGCTTGAAATCTGTGCTTCGGACTCAGGAGGATTCTGTGAGCAAAGGAGGGAAGAAAATTCAAGAAACTCTTTGGCCAAAAATCATTTGGAAGCTCCTGATTTCACCCGAGTCTGTCAGCGAGTCTCAAATCATCAGGTAAAGCCCCTTGTGGCTGAAGAATCGCCTATTTCACCACTTAAGGAACAGTTCAAGCCTGGCAAGCCCCAACCCGTGGCTCTTGGGAGTCACCACCACTTCACTCTGCTCTGAGCTCCCCCGGAGGACAATTCCAGCAAAGCAAGATTTTCCTCAAGATAAGGCTGTCTCCTCTGCATATATAAAGCTTCTCTGTTTTCCTTTCAGTGACTAAAACTGCTCCCCATGAGATCTCCATTTCCCTACTGCTACAAAGGAGCACCAAAGCTGCTTTCCAACTTACTTCTCTTTTGATGTGTTTTTCTCACATTCTTCAGTCACAGATGTATTCACTGAGCAGACCTTTGCATGACAAACAAACAGAGCACTGCACCCCCCTGAAAAACTGAAGGTGACAAAAACCCCATATTCTGTCTCACTGGCATATTACTAATAAGCACCAAGCAAGCACCGATCTCCATGGCTTTCTGGAAACTTCATTCTGAGCCAGTGAATTCCGTGCTTCAGGGGTTTTGGAGCGTGGGTTTCATGCCAATGGCACCTCCCCACAGAAGGAGTTCTGGCCAGAGCTCTCCACGCAGGCAGCAGACATCTGTTCCAAGGCAGAAGCAGCAGTCGGGGATTACCAAACACGAGCGTGTTCAGCCACCCTGCAAAGCTGGGTGTTCCTTCTCACACATGGGCTGTCAGATGGACTGAAGGAACCCACTGAAATAAAGAAAGGACTCTTCCAGTGGAATTAATTTTAGCTCAGACTAGTAACAATCACAAATCGTGTAGTGTAGGAGCACGGGAAGGCACTATCTCCCACTGACAACGCTTCAACCTAGATTGTCCTTATTCCTTTTAAGACCATTTTAATGCATTTAGATAAGAAATCATCTGCTTTCCACGCGAGAATGCAATGCAGTGGGACATTGAAAGGGAACTTTACAATTCTATAATGAATAAAGCCAACAGATCATTTAATAATGTTTTCAAAGTACAATTCCAGAAACCTTTTATGCATCTGTAATTACCAAACAGGAAAAAAATGTTCCCAACGTCATGGAAAAATCCTGCTGTTACAGAACACATGGGCATGGGAGATAAGAAACCTCGATTATGTTTAGTCTTGAGACCTGAAGAAACCAACTGCTCGATCCCCAGCAGCCACCATGCCAGAGGAATCCAGAGGTTTGGTTTTTCCCAAAGAAAAGACACTGCAGAAGAACAACTGCAGAATGAGCAATCCTGGAGGTGAAACTTCCTATTTTTTCAAGTCATTCCTTGAGGGCAAGGCTAAAGATTCAGCTGGGAAAAGGGCAGACACCAGCTTCATTTCCAGACACGAAGGAGGTTGGTTGTTGTTGGAGCACCAGAGCCAGTTTGGAAGTTCTTTGGCACCATCTTGCAGAAGAGCACTTTCTGACACAGCACTCTAAGTAGTATGCACGATATTTGAATGGTTAGTACAATGATATGAGTGTGTAGATGGTATGCTCCTGGCTGGATGGGTGGCTATTACTCTTTTCAACACAGAAAAGAACCTGCAACTGTAGCTAAATGTAAAAAGTGTGGTTTTATAGCAACAAAAAGAAAGGGTTATTAACATCTTTCAGTGCTTTTAGAAGCTACTGGAAACCAAAGTAGCCCCAAATGCTTTGGCAGAAACACAGAAACAAGAAAATTGGCAGAGTTCCTTTCCCAGCTGTGGAGCAACAAATCTAAGTTTGGTGTTGACTGAGCTGCACAGGCTTCAAGCAAGATCAGCTCTAGGTGCTGTAACAAACACACCACCAAAATACCGCATTCCTCTTCAGAAGATCACTGCAACCTCAGATCCACCTCCAGCCGCTCAGGGGCAGCAGATTGAGGTTTCAGAGCCTGCAAACAGATGTAATTGCACTGGGAGGGAGCTGTCAACTGGGTGACAGGATTTACCTTGCATAGAAGCTGAGCTGTGCAAACAGAACAGACAGAGATCTGAGGTGACTGAAGGCATTTTGCAAGTTTCTTTGCCAGTTCCTCAGGGAGCTGCTCTCAAAGCCTATCTGCAGAGGGGTTTATCAGCCAAGCTCTATGCTTCCATTGGAGATGCAGCTGAGAAACCAGCAAAGAAATACAAAATCTTGCTCTTAAAAGCCCATTGACATTAGAACTTTTGCCATGTATATATCCATAGGGTTAAAAACTATAATGAAATAAACTCCATCCTTGTAGCAGTACTGCTGTACTGGTCAGTGTTGCCAGTGTACAGCAGACCTTGCCTCAGAAAAACATCTTGAGAGGATTAATACTTTGATTTATGAATGCACTGTATCCTATCAAACAGCAGGAATTATCAACACCATTTTTCTGGGCTTGGATTTTACCTCTCATGAGCTTTTCTGATGGTGAATCCATAAATAGCCCCATTTTAGCTGCAGACAGAATTATTGGACCCCCATAATATTCACAGCAATCACAGTATTGACTCACTGTCTAATTTATGTCAAACTTCAACATTCAGCCAGCGTCAGCCTGAAAAATCACATCCTGAGAACAGAGTAGGAAACACGTTCCCAGCTCCTTGAGGCAGCCACAGGACTTGACCAGTGTCAGATTTATACAGTGAAAATACTTTGTTTAGGAATCATCCTTTTGAATCACAAGGAAGACCCAGGAAACAAAACTGAGATGCTGCTGTATATTCAGTTGGATAATGAATCCCGTCTCCTCTTCACAGTGCTGTGTAAATGTGAGTGGATGTTTAGAGCATACCTCCTTGCAAATTTATCCATCTATTTTCTCTAAGATGATTTGCTTACAGATGTGCAATCCCACATGGGAGGAAACCTCCGTGGGAAAGGTTTTAAAAGCAGCACATCCTCTATTTGACATGAAAAAACAAAAGAGCTCCTGAAATGCTGGTGGCAATAAGCTCAGTTTACCCTGACAGCAGGTGAAATGACCAGGCAAAATTGCTCTATCTCCAAAAGCACATGTTTTCTCTTTTGTATTTCCATATTTACTGGCAGTCAGAAATACAGCATGCTACTGGTAAAGTGAAGTTTAAAAGTCACCATGACGGTATCACTTTGATCTATCTCAGTTTTTTCTCCTTTGTAGTGGGTCCTTTTAACCCAAACCTACCTGTAAAAATGTGTGACCTGTCATTTTTCTAAAGTGTTTGTAACTAGGTGGTTTATGCTAGAAGACATAGATTGCTGTTCAGTATGTATTCTTATTTTTGCTTTGTATTATTCCATCAGAATCTGTGGATATACAATTAAAATGAGACTAATCCTTACGCAAAAATGCATCCTCCTCTTTTTGTCCAGATCTTTTATTTTGATTTCGGTTCCATATGGAAAACACGATGGATTTCTGTGTTTGGATCCTATTCCCTTGAATAAAGCAAGTCCAAGTCCTCCTTGGCACTTGTGCTGCTGCAAAATGCAAAATCGTAGCAGTATCAACAACATTTCTTTCACCACACATTACATCAAAAGGCCACCAGCATCAGTGGTGTGTCATGAAGGAATCTGGTCAACGCTGACAAAACAGGAGACAGGGAATCTTGGCTGAGGAATGCCAAAACCTGGCACGAAGCACAGAGAATGCAACCAGCAGAGCTGACAAAGTTCAAAAGCTCATCGTGTGATGACTAGGCCACGCCACATGGAATGGGATTAGCTGCTACCCTACCAAAGCAACAGTTTCCCAGTCAGAAGACATGATGCCCTTCCTCAACAGCAAACGTACCCTTCCATCACCCTTCACTGTAGTTTTCCATTAGCCACGTTACATTCCTCTATCTGACTGATTGAAGGTCTTTATTATTACTTTCAATTAGAGATCTTAAAAGAATATTCCCTGGAAGAGACATTCTAAAAGACCTCTGCAGCAAGCTGGCTGCCCTTTCAAAGATAGGCACCCAAAACCACCAGAATCTTGTCAATATATTGGGATTCCATTGTTGGTTCAAGGGGTTTTGGTAGAATGAGAGGGAAAAGTTATACCTTAAATAGTTTACTGCTCTTGTCACTGCTTAACTCCCCTGTGCTGCAGTGTCCTGCAGTGTGCATGTGCCAGCCTCTGCTGCTGTGCTGTTGGGTGCGTGGCTCCATGCATCAGCTCTGCTCTGAAGGTACCAGAGAAGGTCTTTGGTGGATGAAGGAGTTGGGACACTTCAGTTTTCTCAGTTGAATGGGATCCAGGGATATTCAGATTGAGATTTCTTTTAGCCAAGGTGGTGGCACCTGTGATGAAGATCAAGATCAGAGCAACAGGTAAAATCTGACAAGTTTTCTAATGGAAGTTCAGACACTATAAATTCTCCATCAAGGACATAGTTTTCATGACTCACTTTCTGTGAATTAGGTGCCTGAAACCCACCTAAACTGCATGCTGCTTTTAGGAATCTCACATTTACTCCACCATCAGCTCTAATTTAAAGGCAGAAAAACACCCAGAACATCCCCATTTTGTGTGATTTCAAAACACTAAAGAAAAAGCTTGTGTTCCCCCCAAAACATACAACCCCTTTCCACCCAGACCTCTCTTCTGCAGCTGGAATGAGAAGTCAGTATTTCCCTACTCTTCAGTACTGAAACCTGAGTTGTGAATGAAACTGTCACCCCAGGGGAAATCTCTTCTACCACATGTGCACTGTGCTCCCATTCTTCCCTTTAAAATGACTGCGGCTCCTGAATGGAGCAATAGTCAAGAACATGCTAATTACAGCACAGACTTCTCCAAGGTGTTTGCCATCATTGCTAACCACGATAGGCCACTGATAAAAACCCAGATTCCCATCTTAAAACAATGAGAATCTTCTCCAAAGAGTTCAGCTCGGTACTAGGGATGAGATTCATCACCTCCTAATTTTATCAGTCTGTAGGTTCCCTCTCCAGTCGATGACAGGAGATGATTTCACCTGTCTTAGGATGGGATGAATCACCCTGTGGTGAGGCCTCTCACTCCCCACTGCTAAGAGATGCAGCTAAATATCCAGCTGCACACTGTGCACATGTCCTTCGGGCTGCCAGCTGAATGAATCACAGCCCAGGGGAGGGAAAGAAGTGATAATGCAGGGGAAAAGAGAGAAAGGGCTAGAACATTCCTTCTTTTTTTTAGCACAGTTCAGTGTTTTGTCACCTTGAGTTAACTCTCCCAGATGTTTGAGACTTCTTGTGCAAGTATCTAACATGACCAAAAGCAGTCTGTTCTCCTGACTAACACGCTGCTGGAAATTATCAAAGGAATGCTGAGGAGCTGAGCTTTGAGAAGCGGTTTGAAGCAGGAAAGAAAGCTAATCCATTCCAGTTCAAATGCAGTTTCACTTGGTTGGGGTTGTTTTAGTCAAAGAGAACAGCCACAACAGGAAACTCAGCCTCTAGATAGAAGTTAATATTGCCTGAGAGTGAGCTGTAAGATGTCATACCTGCAATGGGAAAGGGTTGGACGGTATTACCCACACAGAACACAGCTTTGGGAAAAACTAACTGTGAGAGCACTTGAGCTAAGACTGACTGGGCTTGAACATAAAGACTTTGTCTTCCTGTGTCACTGCATCCCTAGAGCATGAGCAGCAGGTTGAGGGAGGGGATCCTGCCCCTCTGCTGCGCTCTGGGGAGATTCCCCCTGCAGCCTTGATCCAGTTCTGGGGCGACACCAAAGAGGGATGTGGAGCTGATGGAGCTAATCCAGGGGAGGCCACGGAGATGCTGCGAGGGCTGGAGCAGCTCTGCTCTGGAGCCAGGCTGAGAGAGCTGGGCTGGGGCAGCCTGGACAAGAGAAGGCTCCTGAAGGGGAGACCTGAGAGCAGCTCCAGTGCCTGAAGGGGCTGCAGGAAACCTGGAGAGGGGCTTGGGACAAGGGCCTGTAGGGACAGGCCAAGGGGAATGGCTTGAACCTGCCAGAGGGGAGACTGAGATGAGCTCTGAGGCAGAAGCTCTTCCCTGGGAGGGTGCTGAGGTGCTGGCACAGGGTGCCCAGAGAAGCTGTGGCTGCCCCATCCCTGGCAGTGTTCAAGTGTATACTTGAACTGGCTTCTGCCCAATTTATCTTAGTCTTAACAAAGAAGATGAACATTAAACCTTTAGTAAACATTAGTATTCTAAAAATAAAGAGAGGGCACATTTTCTCTCCCTGATCAAAGCACACTGTTGAATGGTATTTGTACCAGTGACGTGTCAAGTAGATAACATATCTGCAGGATAAACAAGCCCCAAAACAAGGAAGTTTCAGATGCCCCAAGCATAACTCACTGAGAACTGTGGCTAAAAAAAGCATTTATGAACACTTGGCATTTGCATAGCCACATTTTCACAGGTTGGGTGAAGTCCGTTGGAGCTGGTAAGTGTAACTGTCACTGCTCATTTCGGACAGTTTTTGTTCCTGGGGCAGCAGGCAGCTGAAGTGCTGGTACTCTCCAAATACAGGCAGGGACACGCCACCGCCGCGTCTGAGGCCATTTGGGAATGTGAGCTATGTGGGTGAACACTGTTTTACTATCCTGATGTGTGAGTGTGAACAGGGGTGAGAGAAAATCCATGGCAGTGGCTTAGAAACAAACCCAGGCACAGGAGCACTGAGGGACCATGAAGAAAAGGTTTAAATAATGAGCTTTTACACTGAGAGCTACAGAAATGAGATTTGTGACTCAGAGCTTAAAAACTAAACCCAAACCCAACCAAACCAAAGCAACCACAACTACAAAATGTGCTTCCTGTCCTTCATTCCTCTGCTTTTTAGAAGCAACAAAGTTTGAACATTCTTTATAGAGATAATGGGTCTTCACTGTTCTGGAATTCACTGATCCCAGAGAACTCAGCCAAGTACTAAAACCTGCTGCTGCTACCAGCACAACCCTTCTTTGTTTGCTATCTGCACTAGAAACGTTTCTTTTGACACATCTTAGGCCAAAACCTCCTTTTTCCAATGCAAAAGCCCAGCCTGTGTTTCTGAAGCCCATTGATATCAGTAAATCCCAACAGGGCAGAACACAGTTTTCACTCCCCTCGAGGATGGCATGTTCCAAAAACGTTTGGATCAGCACAACTCTGATGTTTGGGTCAGGAGCAGCCAAGACCAGTGGTTCCTCCTGACTTTAACTTCAGAGCCTCCTGATTTTTGGCTAGTAGGTAAGGTCAAGCATGGCAAAATGAACACTGAGGTAACACACTTCTTGCTTTCTGAGCCAAGACACCTTCCTAGCTCATGGACAGGAGAGAAACACGGTGAAGGGCATGAAAAACCTGAGCAGGGAGCTAAGCTGAGGTCAGATTTTCAGTTGGTGTAAACATGCATCACTCCACTTCAGTGCCCAATGATGATTTGCATCAGCTGACGTGGTGTCTCTCCCCTGGGAATGCTGAGCTTAAAGTGATGGGCAGCTGCTGGATGTCTGACTTCCCCAAGTCTCATCTCCATCAGAATCAAGGATCCAAGCTCCAAATCTCTCTGGAACAAGTATTTTATGTGGCTACCTTGGGAATTAAGCTGAAAGTACAATTTGCAAGTGACATCTCCAGGAACAAGCAGAGAATGTTCTAATGTTGACCATAAACAGTAACAGTGGAAATACTGGCTCTGGTCTATGCCTTAAACAGACAGAATTAAGACAATACATTCGGCTGGAAAAAAACATTCACTATAATCCCATTATGAATTTATCAGGCTCTATCTTAAAGAAAAGTCCTTTCTTGCCTTCAATATCTTCATTGCAAGAATTCCAGAATCTTATACCTCTGATGGTTAATAACCTTTTCATTGGCAGTACAATGGCTTTAACCTGCCAGAGAGGAGATTGAGATGAGCTCTTAGGCAGAAGCTCTTCCTTGCAAGGGTGCTGAGGCGCTGGCACAGGGTGCCCAGAGAAGCTGTGGCTGCCCCATCCCTGGCAGTGCTCAAGGGCAGGACACAGGGGCTTGGAGCAAGCTGCTCTAGTGGAACGGGTCCCTGCCCGTGGCAGGGGTTAGAACTGGATGAGTTTTAAGGTCCCTTCCAGCCCAAACAGTGCCATGGTTCTATGGTTATTCATGATTAGCTCATTTTATCAAAGCACTGGCCTTGACCTAACAGCTGATAAGCATGAAGTAGCTTTGTGGGCAAAAGTAACATCTTTTATTAGATCAACTGACATAGCTGCAGCCAGACAAACAAGAGTTTAGACCACAAAACACTTCTGCAGGCCTGAAATAGAGGCAGAAAAAAAATCAAGTTAAACACAGTTTAGGACACAGTTGATCTGAATAAAAGATAATGATGTCAAACAGTTTGAGGAAAAGGTGTCCACAAAATACCAGGGATCCAAGTAAGGTGTGGAATGATTAAGCCATAGGATAGCACATCGGAGGAAAGAGATAATATTAACTGCCAAAGTTAGAACATTCTATAGGCTTCTATGGTCATTGTGTTATTTAGGGACTGTCCTGCCTAATAGGGCTGCAAACCCAGTGTATGGGACAGCTTCCCAGCACATCCACTGCCAGGATGCCCCTTAAGCCAGGGGCAAGCCCTGCACAGCACGTATGTGCTGCACACCCAGCTATCAGCACCAGATCACAGTGCAAGAATCAGCTCTGCAGGCTCCAAAGCAGCAAAGAGGAGGAACAGGCCACCACACACCAAGGTATTTGTGTTACTAAGGCTTTTACAATTGTTTTACAAACCAGAGTAGGACAAGGAATCCTTGAGTGTGCCTTTTAATGCTTCTGTAGACTGACTTTATAAGAAGGAAGAACAAAAGCAGACAATGGTTTGGATAGTTTAAGCCCTCTTAGACAAGCTGTTATTTAAAAACATATACTATACACTTCACATTGAGCTGAACAGCCCTCCAGAACCACGGCCAACTCTGCCTTCACTTAACACCTCTCAAGCCAGCCCTGGTTTTAGAAGCATCTAACACAATTAAAACCCATTTTCCACAAGGTGCACCTGTGGTGAGAGGTTGTCACTTGAGGAAGCAGTCCAGTGTAGCTAACTTCCCTTAAAAAGCACTACCTTACACGAGTGAACTGCAGAGCAGGAGGCCCTCCAGAAAGTTACTGGCATTTTATGTTATTTATGTATTTATATATTCATTTATTATTGCCTGTGGCCAGAGAATAAACTGTTTAAGAAGTCCCTCCTAGAAGTTCTGAAGATATTGGTCCAAATGGATTCACTCCTCAGCCTCTGCATATCCATTTCTCTGAACAGCTTCCCTGAAAAGAATAAAAATATTATTTAGTTCCTTTACTTTTCCTATCATAAGTTTAGGGAAGCAAAAAACGTCCTGGATGCATTTTAAACAATGAAATCGGGCTGGGAGAGAGGAGGAAAAGGGGTGATGAAGAGAAAGGCTTCAAGGCAAGAAAAGATCATTTAGTTCCCTTACTTTTCTTGCCATATGTTTAGGGAAGCAAAAAACTTCCTGGATGCATTTTAAACAATGAAATTGGGGTGGGAGGGAGGAGGACGGGGGAAATGGAGAGGAAGGCTTCAAGGCAAAGGAACCCCAACCCTTTGCACCCTCCCGCACCCCCCAAAGGCACCGCACTGACATTTCCACCCGCCTCAATGACTAAGTTAGGCAAAGCAAGCGCTCGCCAAAGGGTTATTTATAGCGGGGGCGGGCACGGGGGGGTCCCAGCGGGTGGCGGACGGAACAGGTGCCGCGGCAGCGCGCCTGACCCCGGCCGCGGAGCGCGGCTCATGACGGTCACAGGGCTCCAGCGGCAGGCGGGGCGGGGAGAGGCGGCCCGAGGGGAGGGCGCTGCGGGCGGACCCTATAAATGAAGGGCAAAGCCCCATTAGCTCAATGAAAGAGGGAGGAGAGGCCGGGCTGAGGGGGGAGGAAACGGAGAGGAAAGGTTTAGGTTCGGTCCATTGAAAGTAATCGCAGCGTTTCTAAGTTAGTTCTTTTCTTACCGCGCTCCCGCTGAGGAGATGAAATACATCATAGGCATCGGAGGGTGAGTGCCTGGTTTTGGTGTCCCGATGTTGCTTTGTCTTGGTTCATTGCTGTGGATAAGCTGAGCCGGGCGCTGGAGGTGATGTATCTGGCTATGAAGGGATGTTATAGCGTTCTAGGGATGATGTGACTGTTTGTGCCTCTTGGAGCTCTGCGGGGTGATGCATGCCCAAGGTTCATAGGCAGGTCTGTAAAGGCTTGAAACAGACAGCAACAGTCAGTTTCTCGGTCAGCCGGAGCAATGTGCCTCACCTGTGGCAAGAGATGTTGAGTTTTGCTTCTTAAAGCTTCTCTGGAAGGCAAAGAGGAAAAGCTGCTTCATATAGGATGGAGGGGGTAGGAAAAGCTTTTATTTTGTCCAAAAGAGGCAGGATTTGGAAGGAATCCTGTGTGCGAGCCGGGGCAGGGGCATCCCCGCGGCTGCACAAGGGGCTGCAGGACCCTGGGTTAGAGGCAGCGTGCGGGGTTTATCCCCTTTGAATAAGCGCAGACTGGAGATCGCTGGAGAGGAAGATGATTCAGGCCTTTTGTCTTAAAACCGGTTCGCAGGTATAAAACTGAGTCAGTGAGGAACGAGCGAGCCTCCCTCAGTGGTGACCCATTGGAGACGCTCCTAGAGCTCACCGGGCGAGGGTTAAACCCTTCAAGGCCAACACGGGCGGTGGAGAGCGGTGAACGCCGGTTCCGCCTGCCCCGGGGGCCGCGCCGCCTCCTCCATGCTGAGGCGGCTTCCCCCGGCTCGGGGGCGGCCATGGCGGCTCCCTCAGCGCGGCCGTTGAGCGGGGCGGGAAAGGGAAGGGGCGGTCGCAGCCAATGGGCGGCCAGAGCTCCGGTAGGCGGGAAATTTAAACCTTGGGGGGGGGTTGGGGGGCTCCTTCCCCTCAGGGCGCTCCCGGCGGGATCTCGGTTCTCCGCCGCCGTCTTCCCTCTCCCCGCAGGGTCACCAACGGTGGCAAAACCACGCTGACCAAGAGGCTCGTCAAGGCGCTGCCCAACTGCTGCGTGGTGCACCAGGATGACTTCTTCAAGGTACGCTGAGCCCCCGGTTAAAGCGTTTAACCGCTGCTTGTCCGTGCGGTGGCAGCCGCTGTAGGCCCCAGCGCGCCGGGTTTGGGGTACTTGTGCGTGTTTTCCATGTCGGGTTTGGTGCCTTAGGAGCAGCAGCCTCCTGGTGTTAGTTTTCTGCTCCTCTGTGCGATTTTGGGGCAGGGAAGGAGGTGCTGGCACAAGTGTCAGTGTCTGCAGCCCCAGAATGGCTGCAGTAAAAGCATCCCTTACTTCTAGCAACAGATCTAACTACTGCTTTCTGTTGGGGGTCATTCGCTGTGCTCTGCACAAACCACTTCCTCCATGCTGGGTTTTCCTTCTTATTTAAATACGTTGCTTCTAAATAATACTCCGGGATTTAATCATTTCTCTGCTGCTTTAAATACAGTTGTACTGGGGAGCTTTGCCAGCTCTGTGTCAGGAACCCGGTTAAGAGATTGCTGAGTGCACAGAAGCTCTGTGCCCTTGTGCTGAGCTGGGAGAGCAGCAGGGACCCCATCACCGATCCCTGCAGGGCTCCCAGGAAGGGCAGAGCTGGACCCCACTGTATGTGGGAGCCCAAGCCATGTGGCCACACACTAGAAGCATCCCTCTGTTGTCCCCTGGTGTGTGCAGCACACTGGCACCAGTTTGTCCTGTCTGCAGGAGCATGTGAAATGGAGACACTCATTTGAAAAGCTCCTGTGCCACAAGCCTCGTGCATACAGGGTCATACATGAGCCCTGAAAGTGAAGGAATTCTGTTGGAGTCTCCTTAAAGATCTATAGCTTTTCATTAGCGTGCTTAGTTAGCAAACACTGGTAAAGCTATAGTAGCTAGGCTAGTAAGTAGCTAGTAAAGCTATAACTAGTGACCAAGTGTCTTGCTTTGCTGACCTGCATTTGTGTTAGGAGTTAAAATAGCTGTTTTTGAACATGTAAATTTTAGCAGTCACTTCTTGCTGTATTTGCATTTTAAGTTCTTTAATGTGTTGACTTATAAGCAGGCACCTGTCCTGTTTTTGGTTAATAGTACCATACTGAATTATTAACCTAGAACTTTGCCCCAAATGGTTTCACCAAGCCAAGGGAACTCCACAGTTCCTGGGGTTGGAAACGGGAACTTGTATTTGAATGTAGCCCAAGCAGGGTCTGTAACTGTTGTTAAGTGAACACTTGCTTTGTTGTGTATTGCAGTAATGTCCAGGTTGTGATCGGATCTTAGGTAACTGATCACGCTGAGTTTGCAGCAATGTTTTATTGCTCACTATATTTCAGCCACAAGATCAAATAGAAGTCGGGGAAGACGGCTTTAAACAATGGGATGGTAAGAGCAGTGTTCGCTATAGGATGCAGTAATGTATATTTTTCCTAAGTATTTCTTTTTCATTATTAAAGATTTAACAGTAAATTTCTGTAATTTCAATTTAACAAGTTCATTCTATTTTATACTTTCAAGCTATGTGCTCTATGGTATTTGATTATGTACCTTTGTCCCACCCACCCCCTTTCTTCTAACTAGTGTTGGACTCCTTGGATATGGAGGCAATGGTGAGCACTGTGCGTGCCTGGATTGAGAACCCAGTGAAGTTTGCCCGTTCCCATGGGGTGAATGTTACGCCTGGCTCTAAAGAGCCAGCCTCCAAAGATACCCATATATTGGTCATTGAAGGCTTCCTGCTTTATAATTACAAGTAAGGTTTGGGGAACTATTAACAGTTTGCCAGGGAAGAACACTAGATCCTTGCTGCCGGGGCTAAACCCTCCTTTTTACTAATATACCCCTCCTGTCTTGTCCTGAGGTATCATGAACAAGAGTTTTTCTCATGTCCAATGGAAAATTTCCCAGTAAATGCTGGGAAAAGCGAGGTGCATGAGGAGACTTTCTCAAGGTAATGCAGGAAGCTCATTTAGGGCATGCCCTTGAAGTCCAGGCATGGGGAGCTGTAGATCAGTACTGAGCCAGCAGCGGTGGCACAGGCTTCCCTTCTGGCCTTCCTCCATGAGGCCCAAACCTTGACCTGCAAAGGTCATTGATGAGGACAAGGAGAGCATCCACTCTGCATGGAATCTCCCCTGGAATTTAGGAATAGCTCCTTCATGTGATAAAAGTGGTTGACACTAAACTGAGCTTAGGAATTAATTGTAAACTGGAGCACAGATCAACCTTTTTGCTTTTTTTACATGGGAGGACAAATGTCTGGCAGGAAGAGGGGAGACTCCAGTGAAGAGAGAAAACTCCCAATAGCTAAATATACACCCTGCAGAAATCACGTGCTATGGATGTGACCAGCAAAAGATTCTTGGCTCCAAACTCCAGTTTTGTTTACAAAACTCTTTCAGGAGAACAAGCTGTGACACTCAGAAACCCAGAGTTGTTTCTGAGCCATCAGACAGGCAGCACCATCCCAGCTTTCCAAACTGAACGTAAAATGGCAATTGTGGACCGGCTGTCATGGCCAAGTGAGGAATGTGCTGGCACACTGCTGGGTGTTCTTGGCCTGTCCCCAGCGAGGTGACTCTTGGTATCTCCTGAAGGTTATAAACACCTCTGAAGCTCTGTCTTGTTAATGGGAGCTTCTCTATAGTCCTGGACCTGTAGCTTGCTCTGTTCATGCCATATGAAGCATTTGTGCAACCTTCCCAGGCTTTTAGAAGTCTGAGTCCCACCAGGTTCAAACTAGGTTTGCTTCAAGGATTTTTCTAGGTTTAGTTTCTTCAGCCTAATAGCAGCACGACACAGAAAGCTGCAGTAGAGCCAGCTCTGGAAAAGAACAGGAGCTGATGGAGCTGCCTTTGCTAAACCTGTGTGCCCACATGTGCTGCAGCACAGCAGGCCAGGTGGTTTTTAAGTCAGTGCAGATCAGATGGACCACAGCTTTAGTCTTCTGGGTATCACAGAACCATTAGGATTGGAAGGGACCTCTGGAGATCATCTAGTACAACCCCCTGCCAAGGCAAATGATCAAGAAGAGGCACAGTTCACAACCCAGGGCTTCCCAGTCCAGTGTCTGACCCCCCCCACAGCAGGAGGTGCTTGGATGGGAAGACTATGTGGTGCACTATTCTGACCTCCAAACCCTGTGTTCTGTGGTGAATAAACCTACTGTACATTAGCTTGTGTCTTCCTGAGGACACTTACACTTCTGCTGTTTCTAACAGACACAAATATGGGAGAGGCAGATTTTTGTGGCTTTCAGGGGTGATTTAACTTTTCTCTGGCAAAAAAAAATAGACACCTTCTTTCTTTCTACCCTACCCCAGACCACTGATAGATCTCTTTGACTTGCGCTACTACCTGGCAGTTCCATATGATGAGTGCAAAAGGAGGAGAAGGTAAGACTCTTTTGGAAGTCCCTACATTCCTTGTCCAAAGCCCCTCTCCAGGTTTCTTGTTAGCCCCTTTAGGCTCTGGGAGCTGCAATAAGGTCTCCCCTTAAGGAGCCTTCCCCAGGCTCAACAAGCCCAGCTCTATGAGCATCAGTAAACCCTTGGAGATTGCTTCACCTTCATTGGCCACCTGCAGCTTCTGTATTCACTAAATAAACTTGATGCAAAACAGACAACTGTTGATGAGAAATTGGACTCTGACAATTGACTTTTACATCAATTCAAGTGAGAGCTGTCAGATTAGCTTCAGGCTGTCGGCATGTGCAAGAGGCAGTGCTGTCCCCATCGTCACACATCACAGAATGGATTGAGACCTTAAAGACATCTTGTCCTGGGCAGGGATAATGCATCCTGATGTTCTTTGCCTGTTTTGCTGTTTGCAGTACACGTAACTACACCGTTCCTGACCCACCGGGTCTCTTTGATGGACACGTCTGGCCCATGTACTTGAAACACAGGAAAGCAATGGAGGACTGTGGTGTTGATGTTGGTGAGCCCCTCCCCAAGCACCCTGGCCCTGGGCTTTGGGTTTTAAGGAATTCAGTAATTTAATTCATGGGAACTTGAACTGCAGTGAGGCAAAGGTTCTGTTTGTACTGGGAAGCTCTAATCCTGGCCTACTCTCTGTGCAGATAAACACAGGCAGTTTTACAGCTCAGGACTTCTTCCCTTTGTTTCATACTAAAAGAGACAAACCACATTCTTTATAGTGGGATAAGAGACTCTGTGGGGCACAAGTTTTTAAGGATGATTCTGGGCTTCCAATTTTCCAATTTGGGAAATTTTACTGCATTTGGTCAATTTGAAATACTTTAAAACTGATCTAGAGGAATTTATTCTGATCAGAAACCTACACCTTCTTCCTCCAGTTTATTTAGATGGGCTCAAGTCCCGAGATGAACTCTACAACCAAGTCTTTGAGGATATTCACAACAAGCTTTTGAACTGCTGACAGGTAAATGTGGTCCCACCATAGATGGGGTGGGACAAGAGGTGCTGACTGGGGAATGACCTGCTCCTGCTCCCCAGTGCTCACACTTCCCCTTTTGCTTTTTAGGATCTCAAAGACCTGGAAGACCTGTGTACAGCGCGATGTAAATAGTACTGCAGTTGGCAGGAGGGTTTATTTGTGTAAACTCATCCTATACTGTCCTTTGGAAAGTATCTTTTGTATATAATTGAAGAATGAAGGTAACTTATTCACACCTCTGATGGACAGGATTGGTTTGGTGGTTTTGTTTTTGTTTTTTTAACTTTCTTATTTTGTATTCCTCTGGCTTATCCCGAAGTTGAAAGTGCATTTTTATAATGAACAAGTAGAGCTACGCTGGGAGAAAAACTGGCTCTTCTGCTCATGTGCTTCTGCAGACATGGAGTCTGTCTGCAACAGCTTGTTTGTAACATCTCAATTCAGTAAAAACCAATTTCAAGTCTTTATCTGAGGTCCCGTTTAATGTCAGTCACCTTTCCTGTGAGATGAACAGGCACAAAAGTCCCCAAACACAACAACACTTGAGGTGTCAGCCCTACTCTGTGTCACTGTCTTGCTTTCAGTGGTAACCCTGACCGGGAAGCCTGGTTCAGGAGTCCCAGTGAGAGCGGGATTCTCCATGCAGTGGTGGGAGGGGCACAGCACTGAAGCTATTTATAACGTGCTAGTATGAAACCAGTTTAATGTCAGCCTCTGCTTCGTGGCGTTTCTCACTTCACACTCAAATTAGCACATAAAGATACTGCAGCCCTGTTTCAGCCAGCAGCCGAGTGCTCCCTGGGTGACAAGTTTGGACAGAAGTCTCTTTCTGCCTCTCACCACCCATATGAGGATGTTATTTGGTCCCAGATTCCTGCCTCGCTGAACTTCAGGTGGTGATGTACCTGCAGAGGGCTCCTATAGAGGTGGATGTGTCCCAAGTGGGTGACATTTAGGGCAAAACCCTGTATTACAGTGCCAGATGGCAAACTGCAACTGTAAAACCAAAGTACAGGAGGTTCTGCTCTTACAAATGCTTTAGGTAAGTTTATGGGACGCCCACAGGTTCCTTACTCCTCTGCGTCCTCCCTTCCTAGCAAATTTTGTCGGTAAAATAATAGTGGCAATAGTTTTCCTGATGTTTCTGGTGATGGGCTTCCTGCCAGTGAGCTAAAGAAACCTCCCACTGTGAGTGAACAGCAGGGCAGTACCTGGGCAAACACAATACTGCACTAACTCGCACCACAGATCATAAAGAGCTTGAGAAAGCAAAGGGGATGTTGTGCCTGAAGAACACCAAGACCAACCTGGAACCAATGCTGTCCTTGCTCCAAGCTAGTAATAGCCTCCCTCACTCTACTGTGCCTGGGACTGGGCTGGAATACCATGGTGGGATGGTGGAGATGGGCGGCTAAAGATAGGAAGTGCCATTGAACTGCTGCACCCGAGCATGTGCATTGCACCATGCACCAAAGGTTCCTGGGTTAAAGTATAAAACCTCTCACGTGGGGTGAGCACAGGGATCTTCTGGGCACCGAAATAACTTGGCTGTGGCATCAGCACGGATCACTTTGGAAGAGTTTTGGGCACACTTTAATTAGAAACAGTGCTCCAGAAAAGCAGCTGCCACAGATCAGTGAGCAGTCACCCTGAAACTCCCACCAAGCTGGTTTCAAGGGGTGCTTTAAGCCACCAGAAGGATCCAGCCACCTCCTCCTCGTGTTAACACTGAGATTTTCCAATTGTCTGGCCAGAATGGAACACCGCAGCCAGCAACAAAACAGGAATAGTGATGGCATCACCCACGCTTCCACAAGCTATAAAGAGGCAGATTTCCTCATGTGTGACATGCGTGTGTCTGGAGACACCCACAACATTCTCATTACACCATTACAGGGCTGGGTGTTCGTCAGTGGCAAAGCTGTGACCTGTCACTGGTACCCTGTAAGTCCATTTGACATTGTTACATTGCTTGTTTCCAGTAGGAAAATCCCAAAGCCCTGGCTCCGTTCTGCAGTGAGTTCTGATGTGGTTTCCCTCAGCGTTCCCCAGATGGGTTTAGCTCCCACCTGATGAGCTGTGCAAACCCAGTCTGCTTCCACAAGGATATGTAAGGGAGAAGCCCTTCCCCTCACGCTGCTGCGAGGAGGCAGAAACTGAAGCCTAAAAAAGGCACTTTGGTATTCCCTGCCCACGGACAGCATAAAACATTCCAGGGCAGTGCCGGCTCCAGCTCCGAGAGGGGAACTGAGGCAGCACGTGCTGGTTTGTCACGTGGGTGAAATCCGGTATCCCCTTTGGGTTTGCCTCCCGGACACAGCCTCCCCCATAATTCTTCCTCCACGCTGAGCAGTCAGTATTCTCCCCCTCTGCACTGGTACCCGGTGCATCGGAGCTGTCTGAGCTCCCTCTGCAATTTAAAACTCACCAGAACCACCCCAAATCCTGCTTTTTAAACACTCTGGTGTTATCTTTGGCCATCGCCCAAGATAGGATCTCCTCCAGCACCCCTCCGGAGCAGCATACCTGCAGGGAGAAGCCTGTGCCGGCCAGGGTGAATGGCGAGTGACTTCCAAGAGCCTTTGGGAGCATGAAACAGGAACCTGTGGCACGAGGAGCAGCTGGGAAGCCTCAGCACTATGTGAACTTTGCACAGCTTGGGACCAACTGTCGCTATAGGATTTCCATACATCCCTTCACACGCCGGCTCTGGTGACGAATTGGTTCTGTAAAAGCAGATCAAATATCCAGGACTCCAGATCAAATGCCGTGGCACCAATCCTGCTCCGCGCCGGGAGCTGCCACCAGCCAGGCGGTAACACCATGCGGCACCCCTGGGTGCCAAGAGCCTTGGCCTGGAAAAATGGGGTCAGACTAAAATTATCCCTGGCCCCATGTGCCCCATGGGTTGGGATGAAACCTACACCCGGTGGGACGTCAGTGGCACATGGGGCTGCCCAAGGAATGGCATGGACAGGGACACGGGACATGGGACACGGGACATGTCCCCTCCACCCAGAGGAGCCAGAGGGGGAAGCACTAGAGCAGCAAATAAAGCCTAAATCGGGCAATTCCCCCAGTCCCGGAGCTCAGCCGGAGGGAAACCCGCTGCTGCCTCCCTGCACGGGTGCTGGCAAGCCGGAGGGATGCTGTGCATCCGCCAGGATTTGGCTGGTGATTCCCCCAGATCAAGTTCAGCTGAATCTTGGCTCCATCAGCAGAGGGCTGAGGGCAGCCGGAAACCCTGCAGTGCTCCCAGAGGAAATGGCAATTTGGAACCTTGTGCCCCTGTCCCAGGGGGAGCTGGGGCTCCCCTCGCACCAGCCACCAGCTGCACCCTAAGCTTATCGACTCTTCCTGGCCCCAAGTATATTGGCGCCAATTCCTTATCCACCCTGTTCCCATCCAAACCGGGATCTGGCAGATCCCCTGCCAAAGGGAGATCCCTGGAGAAAAGGGCAGGGAACCCTCAGAAACCCTGGAGCCCTCCCTGAGCCCCAGGGGCCTCCCCAAATCCCATAGACCTTCTCCAGCTCCCAGAACCATGCTTCAATCGGAGCCCACAGGACTCCCCCATGGTCTGAGGCAAGAGGAGCTGGGTGCTCCTCCAGCCTGGGAGCACCCTGCAACCTGCTCAGAGCTCCCTCCAATCCCGCAGGGAACTCCCGTGCCCCAAAACCAATCCCTTCTCCTCCCAGATTAAGGAACCCTTCTGGGACAGGAGCACCAACACCACGTGTGGGCACAGCAGAGGAGCTGTTACCGCACAGCACATCCTTGCCCCCTTCCCACCACCATCCTCCCATGGCAGGAGCCAAGGCGGCCACCCCGGTGCACAGAAACCTTTATTCTGTTAAAGGGGAGAGTGCCCGTGGGACCGAGGGCTGGGGCAGGGGGGAACAATGCACCCTGGGGGACAGGGGACAGCCGGGGTCACCCATGGGGCTGCAGCGTGCTGGGGGCCACATGAGGCATGCACTGAGCTGCTGCCAGGGTACAGAGAGGGCTCCCCTCACCAAGAGCCCCACAGGCAGCTCCAAGAGCCAGGCCTGGGGTGGGATGGGGGGAACTGGTCCCTGAGCATTGTGGCCGGGAGCGGGGCGCAGCCAGGGGAGCACAAGGACGTGAAGCCAAGCAAGAGCCGCACGCAGGAAGCCAAACCCCAGGTGAGCACAACCACAGCTCCCTCAGCGGGGGTCTCCAGGGAGGCACAAGCCCCCCCACACCACTGCGAGCCCAGAGGCTGTTGGTGGAGTGGCTCCTGGGGTGAGCAGGGGGCTCAGGAAGGACGATCCCACCTCATCCTGCAGGCAGCCAGCCCCGGCCCAGCTAACGGATGCTGCCGTCGCCCTCGCTGCTCTGCAGCTTCTCGCGCTCAATGGACCACACCAGCTCCTGGACAAACTTCATCTCCGAGGCCACCTGCTTGGCCAGTGCCTCGTAGTGGTTCTCCAGCTTTCGGTAACGCCTCTTGAGGCCATTGGCCACCTGCACCACGCTCTTGGTCTCCTCCTGTGCCTGCTTCTTCAGGGCCTCCGTCTTCTGCAGCTCCTGCCGGATCTGGCGGAGGTCCTGGCTGATGCTCTCATTCTCCTCTTTGTACCACGCCTCCTTCTCCTCATAGATGGACAGCAGGGCCTCGATGTCCTCCTGGAAGGACTTCTTGTTCCTCTCCAGCTCTCGGAGGCTCTCCTCAGCTGCAGCCACCTCCTCCATGACCTTGGAGAAGCGCTCGAAGTTGATGTAGGTGTTGTTTGGTGGCATGCTGGAGTGGGACTTGATGGTGTACTCCTTCAGGCGTGTGGTCTTCAGCCGGCGGCGCTCGGGCTTCTTGCAGCTGTCTTCGTTGCGGACGTTCCTCCTCTTGATCACCTGTGGAAAGGGATGGCCACAGGTGTGAGGTGCAGCACCCACCTATGGTCTGCAACACATAACCCAGACCTCTCGGGTGTCTGATACCCAAAAAGTGCCAGTTCTTTCAGTTCTCACCTTAATCCAAGGGTGCTCCAGGCTTTGAGCGATGGTCATCCGCTTCCTGCAAAGACAGCCAGGCTGCGACCGAGGGGCAGAGGCTTCACTGCCTCTTTCCCTGTCAAAGTCCTGGAAAAGCAGCTTGGATCCGAGCACCTCTGGGGCACGGATGGGCCCAGATGAACTCGCTGTGGTCAGGGGCTGCAGTCAGCTCCCTGGCCTCATGCAGCCTCCCCACGGCAAACACACCCCAAAGAGCCTGCAGGAACCTCCTGCCTGATGTCTGATCACACAGCACCACTGCTCCGGGGTGCTCGGGTGAGCCCTTCACCCCTTCCATAGCCTTTTCCCTCCTTTTCAGCTAAGCTGCTGCACCCTCAGGGTGATCCCAGAATTCATGCCGTGCCTGACACAGGGGAGAGCTTTGGTTTCCAAATCCTACCAGCAGCACGAGGGAAGTGGGGGGATAAGCAGGATTTATAAACAAGCAGCAG